GGGCAGAGCCTGGCTGCAGTGCCAGCCCCTCCGCTCCGCGGGGGCATGGTGTGTGACAGATCTGCCAGGGCTGGGACTGGCGAGGCTGCTGGGTGACCCCCTGTCTGGCCACAGGAGGGCAGGGGGCTGGATGCTTTATTTATACTAACTTATTAGAAAGGATGGCATGGGTCAGCTGCAGAGCCCAGCGCGGTGACTGGGGACACGCCGTGAGCCCTGACCGGCTCCTGCCCCACGGGCTGCAGCATGGCATGTGTCTGTGTATTAAACAGGGAGTAAGGACTGACTGTGTGGTTTGTGTGGGGCTTACGTGGTGCTCATGTGGCTTGTGGGGGGCTCGTGGGTGTGGCGAGGCAGCTCAGAGGTCAGGGCCAGCTTGCACCAGTGGCTTGGGGTCCCCAGTCCCTCTGGGTGCTCGTGGAGTGGGGAATGACATTCCCAGGCTGTGGCTGTGCTGGTGGGCTAAGGGCGGCTTGGATTCCTCTCATCCCAGGCCAGCTCTGCCTTCCTCTTCCAAGTGTGGCCACATCCCAGTCCCCTCTTGGGAATGGTTCCTGGCAGGAGCTAACATGCACTGTGCCCAGGCATGTGGACTCCAGCCACAGCGTGGCCATGGGTGACCGAGCTGCAGTGCCCAGGAACATCCCTGGAGCAGCCCTGCAAGAAACAGGCAGAGCCTGGGTATCCCAAGGGAATGTGCTTTCCTCATGCATTAAGACCTGGTAACAAGGTCCCCCGGGACAGGGCAGGTGGCTGCTCATGAAACAGTTCATCTCTGCTTAGACTCTTCAGTGTTTATTTGCGGCGGCCCCTGGTGTGGTGGGCAGTGGGGGGGAACCCCAGGTGTCCCACCTGCAGAGGCAGGCAGGGTCTGGCCCGGGGTGGCTTCGAGCGGTGTCTGCTGAGAGCTCTCTGCCAGGCCTTGTCCCGTGTCGCCGTGCTGTCCCCGCTGTCCATGCTGCCTTCAGTGCTGGGCCACCTGCAGGGTTGGGAGTAGTCAGAGGGGAGGAAGAAGAGGAAAGCTCCCCCAGCTCCTTCCTCTGGGTTCCTACTCACCTTGAGTCCTGCCTGCTGGCCTCCCTGCAGAGCTGGGGCTCCAACTGGGCCTGTGGGACAAGCTGGAGAAGGGAAGAGGGGCTAAAGTCTCCCTGCCCTGCAGTGTTCACAGCCCTCAGCCTCTCGACCTGGTGGATGTCACCACTGAGCTGGTGGCCACAGTGATGTAAAGGAGTTGGAACCAGCCCTTGGGCACCTCAGCCAACATCAGTTAAACCCGTGTAAACTCCCAGCAGCATGAGGAGCCCAGGCCTGACCCTTCTGGTGTCCCCAGAGCATGTGGGACAGTGCCAGGGGCCATGGGGTGGTTTTGAGGGCACCTAGCTCACCTTCAGCACACCCTGCTCTGCAGCCACCTTCAGCTTGGCCAGCACAGCCTCAAGCCGTGCGTTCTCCTGCTCCAGCACACTGATCCGGATGCTGTTGGCCTGGAGCTGCTTCTCCATGTCCTCTGTCAAGCTCCCAGTGCCTGCAAACAAAATCCAGTGGAGCTCAGCCTGCTGCAGCCTGCTCAGAGGTGCAGGCACCCCTCCTGAGGACTGGAGCCTGCCCCAGCCCGGGAGCACCTGCACAGCCTGGGAGCTGGCAGCTGGGACTCCAAACCCTGTGGGCAAACAAAGCTCTGCCATGCCCTGGTCCTGCTGTATTTCCCAGCCTGGAGGTGCGATGCACAGCACCCATACAGGGAAGTACACTGGGATGGTCACAGCTTAGCACAGCCCAGGGCCTGAGCCCTTTCTGGGTATCAGTGGGACAAATGGCATGTCCAGGGTAGGCAGGATCTCCTGAGCACAAGCTCACTGTGCTCTCACCCACTCCATTACCCTCACACTGCGTCTCAATGGGGACGTGGAGCTCAGGGAAGAACACCAGGAGCCTCTCCCGCTCCCTCAGCTCCTGTGCCTCCTTCTCCAGCTGGGACGTGTTCGCCTGCAGCTCCAGGATGGACTGCTCCAGGACCAGCTTCTCCTGCCGCAGCGTGTCCAGCAGCTCCTGCATGGCACCGTGGGAGGTTTGCTGGGTGAGCAATCCCATGGGAGCACTTGGACCCGAATGGAAAACTCCCTCCCTTTCCTCATATGATAAGGACATCCCATGGCAATGGGAAGTGGACAGGAACTATGCACATGGTCTCAGCTCTAAGGTCCCTGTGTGAGCTGGAAGCAGCAGCACTGACCATGAAATACAGAGCATGTCCAGGAACAGGCATGCTGGGAGCAGCCTGAGGTGTTCCTTCCTGCTGTGCTGGCAGTGGGGAAAACCAGTGGAGACCTGTCTGCATGGAGCTAAGGGAGAGGGCTCTTCCCCTGGGAGTGCTGGGAGGAAACGGTCACGTGGCAATGCCACCCTGAGTCCTAGAGTGCCTGTCCTGGGAAAACTAACTGTGGGTGTGGGACAGGGGAGCAGGTGTCAACACTCACCTGCTGCACCCGGAGCTGTTTCCAGCTCTGCTCCCGGCTCTGCTCCAGCTGCTCCTCCAGCCGGGCCTTGTCCTCCTTAGCCTCTGCCAGGCTGGCCTGCAGCTCCTCACGCTCCTGGTCCAGGCTGTCCAGCTGCTGCTGCAGGACCCTCTGCTTGGCCTGCAGGGTGAGCCTGTGTGAGGCTGTGGCACCCACTCCCTGACAGCGGGCAGCAGTGCAGCAGCTCCCAAGCCAGCCGTACCTCCTCGTGCTGCAGCATGCTCTCCACTCTGAACTTCTCATTCTCCAGCTGGGTGCTGGTGGCACTCAGCTCCTGACTCAGGCTGTCCCGCTGGTCTGTGAGCACCTGCACCTTCTCCTCCAGCTCCAGCACCTGGCTCTGGGCCACTGCCGTGGTCCTTACCTCCTCCAGCAAGGTGGTCTTGGTGAGCTCTGGGGAGACACACTGGCTGTGTGTCAGGCTGGGCAAGGGGGAATGGCTTCCCACTGCCAGAGAGCATGGATAGATGGGATATTGGGAAGGAATTCTTCCCTGTGAGGGTGGTGAGCCCAGGGGGGCCTTACCTAGCTCCTGCACAGCCGCCTGCTTTGCCACCAGCTCCTCCTTTAGGACAGAGAGTGTCTCTTCCAGCAGAGCAACTCCTAAATCAGCACAGAAAAACCTCTTATCCAAAAAAGCCCTAAAATGAAGCAGCAAACAGCCACACCAAAGCATTTTCATCGAGTGATTGTGTCGTGCTGCGCTGCGGCAGGGAGGAGGCAGTGTCAGGATGTGGACAACCAGCTCCCACTGCCTGGGATTGGCCTCACAGCAGGGAAAACTCAAGTGCCTACAAAAATCCATGGCAAAAGCCCTGCTTGTGGAGGGGGGAGCAAAATTTGCCCATGAACTCTGCTTCTCCTGCAAACACCCCCAGGCTAGGAGGAGATGCTGGGAACAGCTCTGTACCTCTCCACAGGTCATTCTTGTCCTGCTCCAGCCTGGCCACAGCCTCCGAATGCTCTTTGTCCTTGGCCTTCAGGCTCTGCTCAGCTTTCCTCTGCTGCTGCACTTGGGTCTCCTTCTCTGCCTGCAGCCTCTGGGAAAAGTCCTCAACCTGCTTCTGGAGCTCTTCCTTCTGTTTCCGCAGCTCTTCCAGCTCTGCCTTCACCGGATTCACCTGCTGCAGCAGCCCCTGGAGGTGCTCGTGGATCTGGGAGAGATCCTTGCTCTGCTCCGAGGCCCAAGAGCTCATGTCCATTGTGGAGAGGCTCCTTCTCCCCGTGTTGTCCTCCAGCACCTCCTGGAATTTGCTGAGTGCCGAGGGGATGTTCTGGCTCTGGCAGATGCTGGTGATGGCTCTGCCCACCTCACGCAGGCTGGCCTGGGCACTGCTGCACATGTCACATGAGCCCACAGGTGACGCTGGGGGGACGGTCTGGGTGCCCTGGTCCAGGCTGGGGGCAGCCCTGGGCTGGGAGCTGCTGCCTGGAGCACAGACACTCGGTGATTGGCACACAGAATTGGCCTGGGCAGCTTCTGGGGCAGATCTCTCCAAAACATCTGGAGAGCAGCATTTTGGGTGCTCCTTCTCAGGCTTTCCAGCCTGGGGAGTGGAGTGGGGAGCAGATTGCTGTGTGGAAATCTCCTT